CAAAGAAACAAGATAAAACAGTATTTCTTGAGTGATTCCACTTTTAAAAAAACCCTCTGGGTTTGGGTGTGTCTGTCTGATTTTTTTATTTGGATCTGGCAGGGCATTAGATGACCTCCTTATTCACAGTTAATCAGCCATGTATCAGGTCAGCCTCGGTATAGTACCACTGTAGTACTCACACCCTACATGTCTTTTATACAAGGGAATGGGTTCTTTTAGTATTCCTTCTTGCCATGATCCTCCTCAAAAAGCCTCCTGGGAGACAATCTCCCCTATTTTTCTATGTGACCTCTCTTATCAACTTTGACTCTCTTCTCTAGATGGTTTATTTCCATTTTGCCCCTTATTCTTATTAATTGGAAATAGATACTTCTACATGTTTAAGACAGAGAGACAGACAGACAGAAAGATCCCTGTGGATGTTTTTTCCATCCTTTTTAAAATTCTATCATCCAACTGCTACTCTACCATTTGCTTTTCTTTTAGGTACCATGAGTAAGGGTAAAATTAATTATACCCTCTACTTCAACCTACTGAAAGTAAAAAGTACGTCATCCTGACGAGTGGGGAAAGAGTATGGGTTATCGCATACCAGGAATATTCGGAACTGCAAATCAAGAATCTGAGGATGGGGAAGCCATCCTGTTCATTTCATCATGCTATGTTATTGTGGGAAACAATAATCTCAGGTCTATGAACAATTCTTGCTCTTGAAGTTTTTTCTAAAATTAAGTCCCGTGAATGTAGAAATAACAAAAGACCTTTCAAAAAGGTAACTGCAGATTTTAGCCTATATTTGCAGTTTTTTTCAAATTTTGTTTTTTGGGGGAAGTTATAGTTCAGTTACCTCACAATATACTTTTGCTTGCCTGCTCCATGTGTCTTAGGCAAAAACAGATGGCATAAAGTTATTTATTAGAAGAGAATATGGAAAAAAAAGAAAATTAAAAATATTAGTGGGACATATCAGGTAAATAAAGTATGCTGATCTCAAAGGTAGTCTGTTCCTTTTATAAAATCTTGTTTACACAGAGTTCTTTCTTACTCTTATACCATATCCATCTCTTTTTTCACTCTTCATGTTCCCCTACCCCGCCACCAAACGACAAAGCCAAACAATTTTTGTGTGACTGAACTTTTTTCACTTAAAATTTGGTATGTCTGGCTTTGACTTGGACCTGGCAACTCATGTCACCTTGTTTATTGGATCAGTCATGATCAAATGATCACCTTATTTACAGTTAATTAGCCATGTATTATATGAGCCTTTCTGTAAAATGAGATATGCCACTTTCTTACTCTCTCCCCTTCTCCTTGAGGTTCCTTTTACGAGGGAATGAGTTCTGTTAAACTAGTACTTTCTTATCTTGGTTCTCCTCAAAAGCCTTCAGGGACATAGTCTTATACTGTTCTCTACGTAAGCACATAGTATGATCATCAAGTTATTTGATGCTTTAATATGGAAGCAAAAACAAACAGCCTTTGATATTATGCAGTATTTTTAAGGTTTCCATTCTCTTTACTTTAATTAAAATTCTAAGACCTTTGGGTTGGTGACCTTTTATTCTAAGAATTATATCTGTTGGTCACCTTCCTGGTCGAGATGTGATTTTTAAGTATTTTTACCCCTTCTCTGCGAAAGTGTTTGATATATATGTATATATATATAGGAAGATTTTTATAATAATGCTTTCATATGGAGAATCTCACATTTTACTGTGTGAAATTTTTTGTTAATGGAAACATCTTTATCAGTATCTTTTTCCAATCTGTTGATGTTCCACCTGAAAGGAAGGAGGTACAAATTTAGTTGTAAGACACCACTGCACTCGGACCAGCCAAGGAAGGAGGTACAAATTTAAAATTATAGCTTATATTAGGGTAACCCACAAATCTTTAAAAAAAGAAACACCTTGCCTGGCCATTGTGGCTCAGTGGTTGAGTGTTAACCCATGAACCAGGAGGTCATGGATCGACTCCCCGTCAGGGCACATGCCTAGGTAGCGGGCTTGATTCCCAGTAGGGGGCATGCAGGAGGCAGCCATCAATGATTCTCTCATCATTGATGTTTCTATCCCTCTCTCTTTCCTCTCTCTGAAATCAATAAAGAAAAAAAGAAAAATCTTTGTCTTCTACTTTGCTTAAGATAAACATATGAACTCTAATACTTATATTTAAATTTGTTCTTTGCAAATGGGAGGTATTAGAAATCCTGACTTATTTTTAATCAGAAATTAACATTTTTTAAATTTCAAAAATTAAGAAATAGTCCATATATGTTGAAAAACAGAGAATAATATAAAAACACTTGTGCATCTACTGCCTGACATAAAAAAGAAGTCATGACAAATATCTAAGTCATTCAGTAAATATTTTCAGCAATGTGAGGTATTCGTATTGACAGTTACATTTATTCAACATTTAATATATGAGAGGTCATCTACATGCATTATCTCCATTCATTCTTAGAATAGTATTTTGAAAGGTTTCTTATTCCCATCTTTTCATGAAGAAACTAAGCACCAGAGAGCTCAAATAATATGATAGTGGCCACATTGCTGGAAAATGGTAAAAGTCAAGAATTTGAACTCTGATTTGGTTTTTTCGGGCCCATATAGGTTCTTCAGTGTATACACTGTGATGCTTTCCAAGAGAGACTTTAATGTGTAGGTAATGTAAGAAGGATTTGGATGCTCATTTTATGAACTTTTTATTAAAAAACTAATGTCTGAATAATAATATATAGTGGGGGTGCAGTAGCATAATTTATTTAATGTCATTCATTCAACAGATATTTATAGTGCCAACTTACATGTTCAAGCTCTGTTCTAGGCACTTGAGATGTGTTCATGAAACAAGCCAATTCCTGCCCTCATGGAGTTTACATTTTAGTACAGAAATCAGACAGTAAACAGAAAAGTAAAATGTATAGTATTTTAGATAATGATAAGTGTTAAATAGGAGAACAAAATACCTTAAGGTATGAAAAACAAAATAGTAATATTTAAATTGAAAACTGGGAGAAATTTAAAGGTAAAGCTGACAGATTGAATGTAGAGATATGAGAGGGACAGGAATCAAGCATTTTGGCCTGAGCAATTAGAAAAATGGAGTTCCCATTACCTGAGATGGTGAAGACTGCAGGAGAATCTGGTTTGGGGAAAAATACCAGGAGCCTAATTTTGCATATTTTTAAAAAAAATAAATTTTATTGATTTTTTACAGAGAGGAAGGGAGAGGGATAGAGAGTTAGAAACATCGATGAGAGAGATACATCGATCAGCTGCCTCCTGCACACTCCTCACTGGGGTTGTGCCCGCAACCAAGGTACATGCCCTTGACCGGAATCGAACCTGGGACCCCTCAGTCCGCAGGCCGACGCTCTATCCACTGAGCCAAACCGGTTAGGGCTAATTTTGCATATTTTAAAAGTATGAGATGCCCAGGAGATGTTTGAGTAGCCCCTTGAATATTCAGAGTTAGAGTTGAGAGGACAAACTCAATCTATATATATATAAAAGCCTAATATGCTAAGTGTCCAACCAAGTGCTCAACCGGCCGGTCGCTATGATGTGCACTAACCACCAGGGGGCAGATGCTCTGACCGGTAGGTTAGCTTGCTGCTGGGGTCTGGCCAATTGGGACTGGGCGAGATGGGGCCAGACACACCCTGGAGCCCTCCTACAGTCCCTCCCCTGATTGGCCCCTATTGGGACTGGGCGAGATGGCCCTGATTGGCCCCTATTGCTGGCCAGGCAGAGGGACCCCACCCATGCACGAATTTCATTCACTGGGCCTCTAGTATAAATATAAATTTGGCAGTTATTGACATGATAATGCCATGAGAGTGAATGAGATTACTTGGGAATCTCATTATCACTAAGCAAAGGTTATACTTTTTACTTTCCAGAGAAACAGGTACATTTTCAATTTAAAGGGCGTATACATTCCTATATATACCTTAAAATTTGTATTTTGCCCAGCTGACATGGCTCAGTGGTGAGCATCAACCTATGAACCAGGGGGTCACGGTTTAATTCCTAGTCAGGGCATATGCCCAGGTTGCGGGCTCAATCCCCAGTGGGGGGCATGCAGGAGGCAGCCAATCAATGATTCTCTCTCATCGATGTTTCTATCTCTCCCTCTTATTCTCTGAAATCAATAAAAAATGTATTTTTAAAAAAT